GGGAGAGGGGTGGAGATGGTGGGGTGCAGAGGTGGCAGGGAGTGTGGGGCAGACAGCAGCTGCAGCTGTGGCCCCGATCCTGGGAAGGCGCTAAAGCTGAGGCTACAGCAGCTGCCTGCCCCCACACTGCCCTCATACTCGATTCAAAGACGAGGGACCCCACCCCCATGTTAAATGGAGGAAGACATGTCATCTTAGAATTGAGTAACCACAGTACATATATAAAAAGAAATACTGGGAGTTTTGTCAATGGCTTCACCTGGAATAGATTTCACGCACACTTTTGTAGCAAGTCAGCTACTGTGTTAGGAATGAGATTTGTGTTATGATTTATGTCTGTTTTATTTTGGAAGACTGACATCTTCTGATATCTAGAGGAGAAACAGTTAGGTATAAAATTAGGTACAAAATCAGGGTGACTGCTTTGCATTGTTATTAGTAAAAGTTTTGTAAGACGCATACTATTCATGTGCAAGTTGTTGTACAAAAGCACACACTATTTATACTTGAACTAAAATATGAAGTTTTGTCTACTGTCAATGTAAATAACATAGCTTTAATATGGCCAGTAGTAATTTATATAAAAATACAAACTTTTTAAAAAAGCTGTAAAATACCTGAAGAATATACAACCTCTGAAGGGGTCATGAAAACAAATATATTAACCATGTTAAAAACCGGAAAAGCCTTGGAATGTACTTATCTTTATGTATAGGGAGTACTCTCATAGAAACAAATGAGACTGCTCACAGGGTGAAAAATTAAACCCATACATAAGTCTTTGCAGGAGTAGGACTGTGCATAGCAATTCTTGATTCATTTGAACATATGGTACGATCAGTGAGAATACATTGTTTGTATACATCATGGCTGTTCAACTGGTGGCCTTTTCAACTATACTGAAAAGACAGTCACTGGAGGTTGCATGAGTGACAGCTCTTAAGGGACAAATGGAAAGGGCCTGTGAAACCGTCATTTGCTGTACCCTCTCCTGCATCTGTTATAATATTCTGTGCATTTAACCACATACCATTTTTGCCTCCACAGGATCTCTGCTTCATTCCAGGCACAGGATAGATGGTTCTCAGGAAATGAGGCAGCTATTCAATATTTCTTCTTTTTACGTAAACTATTTTGGCACTTGCTTGCACTGCCCAACATATACAACCTTGCCTTAGTGATAATTTTCTCTTGGCTTTTTCTGTGGTGCTTATCACTATAATGTCTGACTGCTCCAGAAATACAAACAAATGCTGTTCCTAAGCCCTCATGAAAGTAAGCAGACTACTATTCTCCCAATTTTACAGACTGAGAAAGGTCAAGGGAATTATCCAAGGCTATCCAACAGAACAGCCACAATGAGAACCCAGGGCCTCCTAACTCTCACGCCTGTGCTTTTCTTGCATAGCACCTTCCTTCCAGAGGTGCTGAGAATCCATAGCTCCAATTGATTCCATTTGCAGATGACAGTGCCCAGCAGGTGTCTGGGTATGCAACTGAGGAACATACAAATAGTGGCCACATGCCAAATTTACAGTTGATCTACCTAACATGAACATTTGCAAAGGAAGAATGGTCCACAAGATCATTCTTTTCTCTTCATGCAAATACTGCTGAACTTATTATTTTTCCAACTTCTAGAACAAATGGGGCACTGGAACTACAGACAACAGCTTGATACTGTGCATTAAAAGATGCTCCCGAGTAGGATACAGCATAACCATATTTGCATGGTTCTGAGAGGCAGTTTATCGGGCTTGAGTGCAGTCTTTTGTGAACGGGACTATACTACTTCTGATCAAAGAGGTACAGGCTACATCCCTGCCCAAAAGCAGTATGGCTATGTTCCCATGGTATCAGACAGCATGATGCTGTATCCTCTCAGCAGATGCAGCAGAAAGCCAGATGGCATTAATCCAGCACAAACATTTCATATTCACGATTAAAAGTTCTTTTTCACCAAGGGGCGTGGGTCTGAAATTTAGGACTGTCCCAGGAAATCCTGGACTTCTGGCCATTTTATTTTATTACATGTTGACAAAAACATTGCAAAACATGGCAGAGAGAGGAAGATTTTCAGCAGCTTTAAGTCTGCCAAATGGGAATAGAATCTCCTGGCAACATCAAAAGGCACTTTTCTTACTCCTAGGTTTTCCCCCTAGGAAACATCAAAGTGATGCTGTAAACAACAGAACTTCTCAAAATATTATCATAAGAATAGTTTAAAACTGAATGTATGAGTTTAGGTAAACACGGACACTAAGAAGAAAGCAGTTTTTCCTACCTTCATAAGGTCAAGCAAAACACTACTTAAAATTCCTAAGTATCTTCTTTCCAAAGATTGTGGATGGTTGACTGCAGGGAACTGTAAAAACAGTAAGATATAGCTTAAATCTACTGCTTATATAAATAACCAGACTACAACAACACTTTCAGCAAAACACGATACATGCAAGATAAAGGAAGGTCATCTCAATGTTGCTTGCTTTATTAAAACAACTGACATCAAAAGATAGTAGGTAGCAGCAAGAAAGGAAAGAAAGATGAATACCATGTGGAGTAGTGTGTGAGGGGGAGGGTATGGATGCGTAAAAAAACAGAATACATCAGTAGAAACAGCTTTCTGTTGTTCTACCATATGCAGATTTGTTCATTCTCTCAAGGATTGTTGGTGACAACGTAGCTCACCAGATGTTTTTCCAATGATAAATAATCTAGTTAGATACACAAATGAATGCTTTTGGCATTCTGATTGGCAGAATGTGGGAGGTTTAAATGGACTCATAATGGAAAAATACAAGAAGGTTAAAAAAAAAAACGGATGATGTTCCCAAATGGATTAAAATTAGCCTCAAATGAATCTTATTTTGATCGTGGACAGCACTGAGTTAACTTTCAAGGATTAACAGATGACTCAAATTGGGGTGGGGAGGAGAGGGCAAATCATCTAGAAAGCCTGAAATAGAACCACAAAATACCTTTCCAAGTACTAAGACTACTAGGAAATATCAGAAAGCATCTTTTGGCCACTTATGCTGGCAGCTGGTTGTAGAATACATTATTATGTGGGGAATTAGACTCAATAGTGTTTTCTTACTCTATTTTCAACCGTGAAGTTCTTTCCAAAGCCATCCAATGGCACTATGTAAAACCAGTTCTCACTGTCCAAAAAATTACAGAGGAGACACAGGGACACTTTGAAGATGAACAGATCACCATATTTGAGGTCAGGAAAGAATTTTACCCAGATTGGTATGGACTGTGGGGATTCTGTCTGCCTCTGTAGCTGGGGGTCTGGCCCTCTTCCTGGTATCACTTGAAAGTATATTAACAACTTCTTTTGCAGCGGGACATCGGCTGCCATGGTCCCCCTGCTTTACCTGTGACAGGTTAGAGTGTTACGCCCGGTGTTGCATCAGGGTCACCCATGTTGTTTTTCTAAGATGTTAGACAATGAATTTGTACAGCATGGTTTGGATAGGGAGGATCCTGCCTCAAATAGGGGGTTGGACTGTGTAACCTATGGGGATCCTTTCCAGCCTTAATTCTCTATGACTATGATTTTAAGAAGTCTATTCTATTCAGCTTTGCATACTGTTTATCACTGGCATATGGAGTGGGAGGTTTTCTGTGGCAGCTCAGAGAGTCCTTCCTGAAATAACTGAATCTTCAAAAAAAAAAAATCTTCAAAAAAATAGACATAATAATAATGATTAAAAAGCAAGCCTCAGCAATATTAGGCATTGAATTTGACGTGAAAAGGAGTAAAAAACCCATAATTTATCAGGAGAGGTATATACTTCATGAAAGTTATAGTATTATGGATAAGAGGTTTTCTTTGTACTAAAGCGACAAAAAAGGCAGTAAACATTGCTTGGCTTTCCAAGGCAGCAAACAGCAAAGTTATGGAAATTTTCTGGAGTGAAGTAGGTCAGATGTGGCAGGTTCAGTCTCTTTCTAGAAGTAAATAAACTACATCTGGTCTGGTCAACTACCAGAGCTCACATCACATCCACATTCAAAGTTTAACCAGGATTGACTGATTCCTTCCTTTCTTCCTTCCACTTTGGATGCCTCAGACTGGGTTCACTTGGAGCTGCGTGGGGTAATCCTGAGTGTAAGACTCCCCAGCTTCCTCTCTCTTGTCTAAAGGTTTCTTGTTTTTATCTACCTCAGTTTCTGATTTTTTTCTTGCATTTTTTTCCCTTTTTCTCTGTCCCCTCTCCCTTCTACTTCCTGTTTCTCCACCTGTGAGTTGCGTTTGTCTACTTCACAGCTTCTCTCTTACTGTTTCTCTTTCTTTTCTGTGTCTGCCGTGAGGAGTTATCTTAGTTTATCTTTTGTTTTTTGAGGGATACTTATTATCCCCTCTTCTCTTTTTCTTGTTAGTTTTTTTTTTTCCTAACTCCCTCACGCTCCTTCCTTTTTTACCCATCCCTTCTCCCCTCTGGGCACTTACCCCCCTCCCTCCCTTTTTGCTTTCCAAGGCTGCATTCCCAAACACTTATCTTTGTAGTTTATATATACTTTTTTTTTTATTCCCTTAGTTTTAACTTTTGGGATTAACCCTGTCCTAGCAGGACTGGCCGCTCCTACACCCAGTGGCTTGCATGGAGATGCCTCTCGAGACCTCCCCCTTAACCATGGCTTGAGGGTTCATACCCCTCCCCATGTCAGAGCAGAGGTCTGCACAGGTGCTCTAGTTGATCTCCTGGGATGGCGTAACGTACGTTATGTGGCTCGTATTAACACAGTCCCAGTGATTTACCTGAGCGCTCCCACCCTGGTCAACAGGGTGTGCGCAGAGGGCCTGGACATTGCAGGCATACACTATGTTGTCACACCTCTAGACACACAGGCAATAAAGGTGGTGATTTCCAACGTGCCCCCACACCTGTCCGAACAGGAGCTGGCCAAGTGTCTCGAGCCCCATGGGGTTCCTACGAGTCCCTTTCACCAACTGAAGACAGTAAGCAAGGATTTGAAATTGAAGCATGTCCTGTCCTTTTGAAGACAGGTCTTCATGCTCTTCAGGGAGGGCCCCCAGTCTCTTGCTTGCTCCCTGAACCTCAAGCTCAATGGGCAGAGGTTTGTGGTTTATTTTTCCTTGGGGAGACCACGTGTTTCCAGTGTGGTAGCTCTTCCCACCTAGTGGCGCCAGTGCCCTCAGTGTGCAAGCTGCTGTCTGCCCTGGAGACTACGGACCTCATCAACATCTGGCGAGCTCTGAATCCTGATGTGTGCCACTACACCTGAGCCAGGGTGAATGCTGGTGGTCTCACCATGGCCCGCCTTGACCACCTTTGCATCACCAAACACCATCTGTCACTCCTGCACAGTGGCCACATCATTCCCTCAGGCTTGTCAGATCATGGCCTGGCCTGCTGCGAACTGAACCTGTGTGCAGGTGCCTTATTGGTGCTTCAGAGTCAGCCTGTTCCAACACTCCTACTTCCAGGATTGCTTCACCCACTTTTGGCGGGGCTGCGAGGCCGCAAGACTGAGCTACTCCTCCTGGAAGCTACAGTGGGATGTGGGCAAGGCAGATCCAGGCTTTTTGCCAGCAGTACACCCACCTGGCCACAAATTAACTGTGCTGCCATATCCAGGAGCTGGAGGAAGATGTGGCAGAGCTCGAGGCCACCCTGTTGGCTGCCAGCAATGATGAGGTGCTGTGCAAGAGCCTCCGGTTCTGCAGGAAATGCCTGCGCAGCTTGGCAAAGAGTGTGGCTCGCATCCAAGCCACCGGTACATTTGTGTCCCACTTTGACCCAGCCACCTTGATGGCCTGCCCTTCTGCTCTGGGGGCATTGAGGAGAGCCTCTTTCACACCTGTCTCAACTGTCCCTGCCTGCGGCTGCTCTTTGTCACGCTCGAGCTGGCTCTGCGGGCACTGGACAGAAGCCTCTCAGAGAACACCTACGTGTGCTCCTACCTGTACTGGGTGGCTGAGCAGGGCACCATCTGCTTGGCCAACTTTCTTCTGGGTTAGGCCAAGATGGCTGTCCTCAAATGCTGCCTGGACTGGCCCAGATGATGCACTGCGGCTTTGCAGCCTCCTGGTGTAGGCATACCTCTCACTGGAGTTTGAGCATGCTGTGCTCCAACAGGTGGTGCCCACCTTTAAGGCATGCTGGGCCCTTGAGGGGGCACTGTGCCACATGGAGGACATTCGTCTTCAATACATGCTCTGATGTTATGACCAGTTGGAGCGACCGGGAAGGCTCAGTGGCAGACTGACTCCAAGCTTGTGCTGCGCCCTGGGCCCTCACCAGGCTGCTTTTTTTTTCTTTGTGGGTAGTTGAAGGTTTTGTTACATGTACTATTGCATACAGCAGGATAGGAATCTTCTGTTTATAGAGGGCTTTGGTCTGTACGACCATGTGGCCGGGTGTCCCAACTGCATAACGGCATGTTAGGCATGATGTGTAATACTGCAAAGGTATCTGTCACAGTGTGATCTTAGGAATGTAATGGCCTGGTGCTTTTGGTTTGATGGTGATTTGTCTGTCTTTGATTTGCATATTGGACCTGGACCCCAGAGAAGCCGGCCTTCCTCCTTCCTTCCTATTTTCTTTTTACAAGGAATAGCATTTTGTTTGTAAAATTGTGTGTAAAAGTTACTCTTTCAAATAGGTAATGTTAATATGGGGTTTTATTACGCAGGCAGGAATTTCCAGGGGTAGTTTACTTTGTTTCAGATCTTCTAGGTACTAAAAGTAAATATTATTTTGTAACCAATGACATGGCGGTGTTGGCTGTAGCTGTGTTGGTCTAAGGACATAGGCAGAAAAGCTCCTTTGGGTACATGTGATGTCTTTTATTAGATCAACTAAACAGTTGGAAAAAATGTTCTTTGCAAGTTTTTGGGTTCATCAGGCAGAGCGAGAGTCTACAGTAGAGTCTATTGTAGACTCTCCCTCTGCCTGAAGAAGGGTGTTTGTATCTGAAAGCTTGCAAAGAACAGTTTTCTTACTATTTAGTTGGTATAATAAAAGAGATCACATGTACCCAAAGAACCTTTTCTAACCAATGACACATTCACTTTTGTTTCACTGATTGTTAATGACAAATGCTTGAATAGCTAATGGATGTTTGGAAGAGGTAGGGAAAATGCAAAGGAAAGGGAGTTGTCAATCTGTTAAAACCAGTAAAGCTACAGCAGGAAGTCTCCTGTAAATTAAGTTGATGCCAAGGGAGATGGAGTGTTTATTCACAATCTCATTCTCATTTAAATATGAGAGTTTACATAATGACTACTAATAATAGAGGCCACCCTAGTGAGAGTGGCGTGTTACACAGAAAAAGTTTTTTTCCTACAGATATCGAGATATTCATATTCAGCATGTCTAAACACTTGAGAAT